GTTTATGATCCAAGAATGCATATCTCAAGTGAGATGGAAGTTGCTTTAATTCCAGCTTCTGACCTTTCTCTTCTTCTCCTTCATTTTTCAACTCCTCTTTGATCGATTTTTTTGCAAGTATTAAAATAGGTAGAGTTTCTAATTGCTGCTCCGTTTCAAATACGTTTTCATCTTCAAAATGCAGAGGTTTAGTATTTCCTGCAGCTATGGTTTCTCTCAACACAGAAATTTCATCAAATCCATTCAAAGAATAAGAAGTGATCATAGAATCCAATGTATCTACTCTCATACATGTGTTATCATCAATTGGATATTTCAAAGCTTCAAATACATTAAATATTACCTTTTCCTCTTGAACTCTAAGCATTAACTCTTCTTTTTGCACATCAATGACAGCTTGTCCAGTTGCAAGGAAAGGTCTGCCCAAGATTAATGGTATGTTTGCATCTACCTCCATGTCCAATATGACAAAATCTGCAGGAAAAATAAATTTGTCAACCTTAACCAACAAATCCTCTACTACTCCATATGGATAAGTATATGATCTATCAGCTAATTGCAATGTAATGTTGGTTGGTTTCACTTCTTCTATCCCTAATTTCTTTATAATGGCTAATGGTATCAAATTAATGCTTGCCCCCAAGTCACACAATGCTTTTCCCACAGTACAATTTCCTATTTCACAAGGTATGCTAAAGGATCCTGGGTCTTTTAATTTTTGAGGAAGTTTTCTTCTAAGAATAGCACTGCACTCCTCTATCAAGGGTACAGTCTTATCATGTTCTAACTTCCTTTTCTTGGAGAGTAGTTCCTTTATGAATTTGGCATAAGATGGCATTTACTCCAAAGCTTCAACAAATGGGATGTTAATTTGTAGCTTTTTGAACACGTTTAGAAACCTCTCAAACTGCTCCTCTTGCTTAGGATTTTGCACTCTTTGAGGATAAGGCAGTCTCTTATATTTTTCTGGATCAATTGGCTTGTAAGTGTCCTCAAATAATTGCTTCTTTGTCTTTCTTTCAGGACTTTTATGAACTTCTTCATTCTTTTCTGAATGTTCTCTCTTTAATAGCTTGAAGTTCCCTTGCTGCAATTCTTCTTTTAAATCTCTTTCCTCTGCTGCATTTTCTACTTGCTTTTCTGCTGCAACAGTATTCAGTTTCTTTTCAGCTAGTTTTGGACTGGCTACAACAACTCCACTTCTTGTAACTATAGCTTGACATTGTTCCTTTGGATTCACCACTGTGTTGCTTAGAAATCTTCCTTCCTCTCTGCTTGTTAATTGTTCAGCCAGCTGTCCAATTTGAGTTTCTAACTTCTTCATAGAAGCTTCTTGATTCTTGATGCTGGATTGAGTGACTTTCATGAATTGTAACATTGTTTCCTCAATCTCGTTCATTCTTTCACTCATTGGTCTAGCTGAATGTTGACTCCTTTGAGGTTAAGTAGAAGAATTTCCTTGAAAGTACTGCTGTTGTTGGTGATTTCCTACATTTGAAAATGGAAGAGATGTATTAGTGCTTTTCATTGCAAAATTCTGAGGATTCCATTTATAAAATTGTTGATTCCTATTTTTAGAATACTGAAATCCAGGAGGAAATGATTGTTAAGGATAAGATTGTTGCTGTCTTTGATAATTCCCCATATAATTGACTTGCTCTTGTGGTTCAGGTGTAGGTACATCACATGCACCATTAGCATGATTCCCTCCACAAAAATCGCATGTCAACTGACTTGTTACCACATTTCCAGTTGCAAATTATTAATTTGCTGAGTCAAAGCTGCTATTTGATCAGAAAATAATTGGTTCTGCAGCTGATTTTGTGCAAGAAAAGTTTCCATCATCTTTGCTTCATATTCATTGCCTCTTCTTGTATTCCTCAAGTTGAAATTCTGATACATGGATGAAGTCATCATCTCAATGATTCTTTGGGCTTCTTCCAAGGATTTCATGCTCAAAGATCCTCCTGCAGCTGCATCAATCATAGTTCTAGTTACTACATTCATTCCATTATAAAAATTTTCCAGCTGCATCCATTCTGGAATACAATGATGTGGACATCTTCTCAGCAACTCTTTATATCTTTCCCATCCTTCATAAAGTGATTCTCCTTCCTGCTGCACAAAAGATGTTATTTCTCCTCTCAGCTTAGCAGCTTTTGAGGGAGGAAAATATTTTGTTAGAAATTTATTCACAAGTTCAGTCCATGTGGTGATACTTCCCTGAGACTGTGCTTGTAACCAACATTTGGCTTTGTCTCTTAAAGAAAATGGAAATAGCCTCAGTCTTATAGCATCTTCACTTACTCCATTCATCCTTATAGTATCACACAACTGCAAAAAATTAGAAATATGCAAATTAGGATCATCAGAAATTCCACCAGAAAATTGGTCCTACTGCACTAGGTGAAGTAAGCCTGGTTTTATCTCTAAATGATTGGCTTGAATGGTTGGTCTAACAATTAAAGAATTATAGCCTTGCATATCTGGAATTGCATAATCTCCTAGTGTTCTCATTCTATGTTGTTCTGCCATTTCAACTTTTGGAGTTGGTTGTCTAAAAGGTGAATGTTTCCTATTTGCAAAAGGAGTGACTTGAAATTCTGGAGAATGTATAACCTCTAGATCACTGTCACTTCCTAAAGATCCCTCTGCTCTAGTCTCTTTTCTTAATCTCCTAAGAGTTCTATCAATGTCAGGATCAAAGACAAGAGTAGATTTATTTTTGTTTTTGCCACGCATATACAACTAAACACAGATATAGTATAATGAAAACAGAAAACTGCACATGTAATGTAATATTTGCAGAAAATTTAAAGAAACAAATGCTCAATCTAGTTATTTTCTTGTTACTAATGATATTGAAACAAATTATTCCCCGGCATCGGCGCCAAAAACTTGTTACTTTTACAACTGTTGTTGCACTGTAAGTAAACTGACTAGCAAGTGTACTAGTGTTGTTGTAACAAGCTATAAAAAAATCTTAGAATCAAATGAGTTCCAAGTATCGTCCTCAGCGAATAAAGTTCTCAATTACCACTTCACAAGATCACAATTAGTTGAGCTTTACAACTTTCAGATGGATTTGGTATGAATGTATCAAAAACAAAATTAGAAAGTAAATCAGAACATTTAGCATAAAAGTATATAGTAAACAAATGTAGAAAGAGTAGCTAGGAAATTGTTTCACCAAAACTTCAACATTGAATCAATAAAGTTCTGAACTTTCAAGCATTTAGATGGAATGACAATCAGTTTCATGCTATATTAATCAAAGGACAATCCCTTGCCTCAATGAATCTAGCATCTAATCAAATCACTCTAATCCCTTAGATCTAATCCAATCAAATGTTGCATTAAGTTTGAGAAACCAAAAGATTGCAAGATTAAGATATCTTATCCCTAAGAAACCAATAACCTTGACAATTAATTCAGATCTGAGAAACAAATTCAATTCCCATTGATAAGAGTTCCTCTATGATTAGTTGATCAAATTTCCATTCAATCACTACTTTAACAGCAGAATCAATCACTCAATCCAATCCAAAACTCAAAGTTCAGATCCAAAATCAATTCAACATTTCTATTTCAGATTCACAGTTCCTAACCACAAAGAGTTTAAGCAAACATTACAAAAAGAGAAGAGAAGAGAAGAGAAGAAGAGAATGAACAAAGAAGAAATATCTTCAAGTCAATCTCCAATTTGATCTCTCAAGAAATGAAGCTTGGTGTTCATCCTCAATCTCCCTCTCTGACTCTCTTAACAACAAAAACAAAATGGAAAAATATAAAAAATGAACCAACAAATTCCTTTTTAAAATTCTTGAGCTAACTGTCTTTTATAGAATTCCCGCTCTGTTGGCGTGATCACTTTTGCCAGCAATAGTAATCACGCAGAGGCTAATTCTTCATTTCTACTTGCACGTGTTCACTTTTGCTGAAAATAGTAGCCACGCAGAAGCTTCCCTTATTAATGTCATGCGCGTGTTCACTATTGCTAGAAATAATAAACACGCAGAGGCTACCTTCTTGCGCGTGTTCACTTTTGTGGATAATAGTGAACACGTGCAGCAACTCTTCTTGGAGGACTCTCTGGAATGCTCACTTTTTCCAGAAAAAGTGATTACGTAGAAGCTCTTCTCAATGCAACCTTTCTAGAACGATCACTTTTGCCAGCAAAAGTGATTGCGCAGAAACTCTTCTTCATTTTATGGTTCTAGGGTGATCACTTTCATCAATGAAAGTGATCACTCAGAGGCTGTTCTTCAATTATCAACTTCTTTTCTCCAATTTTTGCTACTTTTCTTCTATTTTTCCTTTGATCATCCAATCCTCATGAACTTAGCTCAGAATTCCATACAAAAGCATACTTGAATTGTCACTTTTTACATAGAAAATTAATGAATTTTAAAATAACTATGTTTAAAAGTGACATGCAACATTTTATTATTTTTTTAAGGGTTTTCTACTATTTCTAACATGTTTTCTTTATTAATTTCACTAAAAACTATTGTAAAATACGAGTAAAATATGGATTCATTACACTGTAAGTTGAATCTACGAATATAGCTATGTGGTGGTATTGTTGAATGTGTTAAACGTTAGTAATCTAAGCTAGTATGTATATTAGGATGGCTAGACCAAGAAGATCTACTACAAACCCTCCTCCTCCTGCTGACGTGAACCAAATGGCTCACGCCATGGAGGCCATGGCAGCCACTATGAGGCAGAATCTAGATATGATTCAACAGCAGCAAGCTACAAACCAAGCCGCTGCTGCAGCACAGGCAGCAACAACTACTGCCTCAGCTGCACCTCCTCCTGAATATCAAGGGTTGTCAGAGTTCAGGAAGAACGATCCTCCTTAATTCACGAGGGTGGATGGACCAAATGCTGCTGAACTCTAGATCAGGGAGATTGAGAATATCTTCCTAACCATCAGTTGCGCCAAGGGGAGGAAGGTGTTATATGTTGCGTATATGCTAACAGAGGACGTAGAGATGTGGTGGCACGTAGCTCGTGCTATGCTGGAGGCACAAGGTGAAGTCATCACTTGGGCTATATTTAGAAGTAGTTTTCTGGGGAAGTTTTTTCCCCTTCTCATGTTCATGTTGCCAAAGAATGGGAGTTTCTAAGCTTGGTGCAGGAAAACTCATCAGTCTATGAGTATGCAATACAATTTGAGCGACACTACATATTTTATTCTCACCCAACCTCGGAGGAGTGGAGATGTTAGAGGTTTTCAGACAGGCTGAGAATTGACATAAAAAGGATTTTGATCCAACTCAAGATCACGAATTTTGCTGACTTGGTGGATCAAGCCACCATTATAGAGAGTCTTAATGCAGAGGATGTTGGTGGAGTTAAGAAGGCTCCATCTAGTAGAGCCACTAGCAGCTATGGTAATGGAGGTAAGGGTGCTAAGAAGGGACCCTACAGTCAGTCGCTACGCCAACAATAGTCTCGACCATCTCAGTCGAGGGGATCGATAGCATCAACCTCGATGCCAGTAAGAACTGCTACTTCTGCATTTCAGCCTAGGGGAGCAACTTCTTCCGCTCCTAGAGCCTCAGTGCTGTAGACTGTCAGATGTTTCAGGTGTGAAGGGCCACACTACCTGAGTCAGTGCCCATAGGCTGATGTCACAGTTTGCTTCTCGTGCCAGCAGCCAGGGCACCTTACTAGGGACTGTCTTACGCCTAGTGGCGCAGTTTCGTCTTCTGCTAGTGCCTTACACGCTGTAAGGCCTAAAGCGGCTAGAGCTCTGACGACTACCAGATTGAGAGAAGAGGGACATGTATTCACTACTTCTAGTTCAGGGGACAATGGTAGTGGCAGGTACTTCTCTTTTTATATTGTTTGATTCTGGAGCCATACATTCTTTTATTGCGGACATTTGTGTGAGAAACTTAGGGTTACCAGTGAGCGATCTAGGATATGAATTGGTAGTATCGACATCTACTCTGAGTTCGATCAAGACTTGAACAATTTGTGTTAGATGTCCCATAGTAATTGAGGGACGAATGTACAAAGTAAATCTTATTTGTATTCTGATGTCAGGGTTATATGTAATCCTGGGTATGGATTGGCTAACTGCCAATCACATGCCAATTGATTATGGCATAAGGTGTTTAATTTTTCCAAAGCAGCAAGGCTGTGTTGAATTGATTTCTACTCGCCAAGTAGAAACATCCTTGGGTGAGGGAGTATCTTGTTTTGTTTTGTTGGGTGTTATGAATGCAAAAATTGAGCAAAGCCTTTAGTCAATACCAGTAGTACGGGAATTCCCTAAGATCTTCCCAGAGAATATTCCTAGAATACCTCCACGTAGAGAGGTGCAGTTTTCTATAGATTTGATTCCTGGAGCTGAGCAAGTGTCTCTAGCACCTTACAGAATGACGCCGAAAGAGTTAAGGGAGCTTAAGGAGCAGATTGAGTATCTAATGCGGAAACAGATGATTAAGCCGAGTGTATCGCCTTGGGGAGCACCAATTCTCTTGGTGAAAAAGAAGGACAGAAGTTCTAGATTATATGTTGATTATCGCAAGTTGAATAAGTTGACAATGAAGAATAAGTGCCCATTGCAGTGGATCAATGATTTGATGGACCAGCTGAGAGGTGCTAAGATATTCTCTAAGATTGATTTGAAGTCTGGGTACCATCAGATTTGAGTGAAGGATGAGGATATTCCTAAGACTGCTTTTCACACTAGATATGGCCATTATGAGTATATAGTGATGCCCTTTGGAGTGACAAATGCTCCAGTTGTGTTTATGAACTACATGAATTGGATCTTTAGACCTTTCCTAGATCGGTTTGTGGTAGTCTTTATTGATGATATTTTGATTTATTCTAGTTCGTCAGAGGAATATGCAGAGCATTTAAGGACTGTACTTAGTGTTTTAAGGGAGAAACATTTGTATGCTAAATTGTCTAAGTGTGAGTTTTGGCTAGAGGAAGTGAAGTTCCTTGGTCATGTTATTTCAGCTAAGGGAATTGCAGTTGATCTTTCCAAAGTTGAAGCAATGTTGCAGTAGGAAAGGTCGAAGATAGCCACAGCAATTCGTAGTTTTGTGGGCCTAGCAGGTAACTACCGAAGATTTATAGAGGGATTTGCGAAGATAGCTGTACAATTGACACAATTAACTCGCTGTGATCAACCCTTTGTATGGATTGAGGAATGTGAACAAAGCTTTAATGAGTTGAAGCAGAGACTAACTTCCTCGCCGGTGTTGATTCTCCCTGATACTAGTCGACCGTTTGAGGTGTACTGTGATGCTTCCCATCAGGGATTGGGATGTGTGTTGATGTAAGATAAGAGAGTGGTAGCTTATGCATCTCGCCAATTGCGAACTCATGAGCGAAATTACCTGACCCATGACCTTGAGTTAGCTGCTGTAGTCTTTGCTCTGAAGGTGTGGTAGCACTATCTTTATGGAGCTCAGTTTGATGTGTATAGTGATCACAAGAGTCTAAAGTATTTGTTTGGTCAACGAGAGTTAAATATGAGGCAGATACATTGGATGGAATTCCTTAAGGATTATGATTTTCAACTCCAATACCATCCAGTAAAAGTTAACGTGGTGGTCGATGCATTAAGTAGGAATGTGGTTCAGGCATTCTCCTTAAGAGTTAGTGTAACTCTTTTGGTAGAACAATTCCGAGACCTGAACATACATGTGGACTTATCACCTGAAAAGATTAGTTGCGGCCGGATTGTGGTGACTAACAATTTCTTACACGAAATTAAAGACAAACAATTGTGGAATCTGATGTTATGTCGGATTGTATTTCTCTTGGGGACAGATAAGACAAAGGGTTTTAGTAAAGGTGCTGATGGTATTCTCAGATGCTAAGGTCGAGTTTATGTCCCAAGAGATGCTCAATTAAAGAGAACAATTCTAGAAGAAGGACATAAGGGTAGTCTCAACATTCATCCTGGTGTTACCAGGATGTATCAAGATTTAAAGCAGATGTTTTGGTGGTCAGGCATGAAGTGTGAGATAGTTGAGTTTGTTAAAGCTTGTTTGACTTGCCAGAAGGCAAATGCAGAGCACCAGAGGCCTCCAAGAGAGTTGCAGACGATGGAAATTCCAGAGTGGAAGTGGGACCACATGACTATGGATTTTGTGTCCCATCTACCTAGAACAGTTAAAAATCATGATGTCATGTGGGTCATAGTTGATAGGCTGACCAAGAGTGCGCATTGCTTGCCAATTAACATGACCTTTAACTTGGAGAAATTAGCAAAATTGTACATCAAAGAGATTGTCATGTTACATGGAGTACCTTCTAGTATTATCTTTGATAGAGATCCTCGATTCACTTCTCAGTTTTGGCAGAGTTTCCAAGAAGCTATTGGCACACAGTTAAGGTTGAGTTCTGCATATCACAAGCAGATAGATGGTCAATCTGACTGTACTATTTTGACCTTAGAAGACTTGTTGCGGACTTGTATTGTGGAGTAGAGGAGTAATTGGGAGGATATGCTTCCTTTGGGAGAATTCACTTATAATAATAGTTACCATTCGAGTATAGATATGACACCATTTAAGGCTCTGTATAGTAGAAGGTGTAGAACCCCTATCTGTTGGTTCTAAGATGGAGTACATTTGATGGTTGGGCCTAAAATGCTGGAAGAAACTAAGGAGAAAGTTGAACTTATTAGAGAAAAGGTGAGAGCTACTCAGAGTCGACAGAAATCTTATGCTGACCGACGCAGAAGATCCCTAGAATTTGAGGTTGGTGATCACGTATTCCTAAGAGTATCACGCATTACAGGTGTGAAACAAGCCTTAAGAGCCAAGAAGTTAACACCTAAGTTCATAGGACCGTATCAGATATTACATCGTAGAGGAGTAGTAGCCTATGAATTAGCGTTACCACCTCAGTTGTCAAGACTACATAATGTTTTCCATATGTCGCAGCTAAGGAAGTATGTTCCTGATTCGTCTTATGTAATCGAGCCTGATGTTCTGGACTTACGAGATGATTTGTCTGTGGAGGTCCCAGTTGCTCGTATTGAGGACACTAGAGTTAAGGAACTTAGAGGCAAGTCTATTTGGTTAGTAAAGGCTGTTTGGGACCCAGTAATTGGTGAGGCCATATGGGAGTTAGAGGAAAGAATGAGAGAGTTGTACACTTATTTTTTCTCAGTTGGATGAAATTTTCAAGGACGAAAATTTATTTTCAGGGGGAGAATTGTCAGGCTTGTAATTTATTATTGAGTAATCTATAATATTTTATACTTATATTCTCTATTATTTATCTATCTTAAATAAGTATGTGGTGTAGAAACAATGTTCTCGGTTCCTTATAAAAGGGGTTGTGACAGATGGTGCAACAGATAATCAATAAAAACATAGTTAATAATAAGCAAAAAAATCATATTTCAGAGCTAGGGTTTAAGGCAAATGTGAGGGTTTAGGGTTTGATGCTTCTGCGTTATCACTTTGAGGGGTTTATATGGCTACGTGATAAATGAAGATTTTACTAGTATTTTACCTTAGTTTTTAATACATTTGATATGAAAAATATGATGGAAAAAGCTAGAAAACTCATAAAAATAATAGAATGTTCAATTCATTTATAAATAGTTTAATTGTTTAGATTTTGTGAATTTTCTATGTAAAAAGTACTGATTAGAACCTATTTTGCAGGAAACTTTGAATTGAGATCATAAGGTTGGAGGATTAAGAGGGAAAGGAAAAGAAAGAGTAGCAATTCTGGGCTCAAAATACAAGAAATGAAGAATATAGTCTGGGCGTGGTCACTTTTGCTGGCAAAAGTGAGTGTTCCAGAGAGTCCCTCAGCAGAGCACACTGGGCGTTAACACTTTTCCTAGCAAAAATGAGTGTTCCAGAGAGCTTTTTAGAAGAAAATGCTCTGCGTTACCACTTTTATCACTGAAAGTGAACGTTCCAGAAAGACTAAATATCAGGAAGCTCTGCGTGATCACTATTATCACTGAAAGTGAACATTCCAGAGAACCTCAAATATCAGGAAGCTCTGCGTGATCACTATTATTAATAAAAGTGGATGTTCCAGAGAGACCTCAACTTGGAAAGTTGCGCGTGGACACTTTTACTCATAAAAGTGAACACGCGCAACCACTCGACCTTCTGCGTAGCCACTATTATCAATAAAAGTGATAACGCACAAAAGGCAGAAAATCTATAAATTGCAGAAATGCTTAGATTTTTGGGATCTTTTCTCATTTTCTCATTTCCACACCTTAGGAGAGTTGGAGAGGGAGATTGGGGGCGACTTCCAAGCTCTGGACCTTGAGGAATCAGGCTGCAGCTCCTCTTCTTCTACTCTTTCTCTCTCTTTTTCTTTGATGAACATGTTCTGATTTCATTTTCTTATGGATTGATGGATCTAATTTTGATATTCTAAATTGATTGTGGATCTGGATTTTAAGATCTTGGTTGTATTGAATGTTTAACTCTTTCCTTAATGCGATTCTTGAAATTGTTATTCAATTGAATTGAACCTAGAGGATTTTCATCAACGGAAGTTAAGTTAATTGCTCAGATCTGAGTTGAATGTCAAGGTTAGGGATGTCTTAGGAATAAGAATTCGTGATCTTATAATTTCCAACACCTAATGCAATGTTTAATTGATTTACACCTAAGGAATTAGGGTAGTTAATTGAATATTAGGATCAATGAGTCAAGGAATTGAACTTTGATTAACCTAGTGAAATTGATCATCAATCAATCAAGGAACTTAGAGTTTAGATCTACTTCAATTTGCAATTGATGAAGAGGTGAAATCAATCCTGACTTTATTCACATATTACATTCAAACTCTATTTTACTGCAAATTTTTTTATCTTTTAATTGTTCTGGTTTATTGCTTTTGGTATGATACAACTCTTCCAAATTCGTATGGCTCAAATGGTTATAATTCTGTGAAGTGGTACTTGAAATCTAAATTCCCTGTGGAGACGATATTCTAATCTTAAATTTACTCATTACTTGCTGCAATTCCTAGTGCACTTGCTAGTGTTTAGAGATTGCAAACAACACTACGCAAAGTGAATGGACACTTTAAATAGGGAAAGTAGACACGCTGGACAATTTTTAATGAAATACAAGTGATCGTGTTTACTCTAAGCAATCAAAGTATTCACTTAAATTGAGGTGTGAAAATCATGTGACAACTTTAACTGGCTGGAGTTAAAACTTAAAAGTACTATCCTGTGCGTGTGTGGCGAGAGTAGCTACATAAAAACTTCACTCAAGTGTGCGTGTCCACTTCAAACGATTAGAGTAATAACGTGTAGATGCGCGTGGACACTTTAAACGATTGGAGTAGCCACGCAGAAGCCTCCTTTTCAATTTTCTCAGACCTTTGTGCATGTTCACTTCAAGTGATCAGAGTGTCCAACAAAGTTGTGCGTGTCAACTTTGACTAGCTAGAGTAGAAGCATATAAGGTCATTTGTTAAGTGTGTCCACTTCAAGTGATAAGAGTGTCCACGCGCAAACTTCGTTGTAGAATTTAAGGACTATGGTCTTCTGCATAAACACTTTGTACACTTAAAGTGTCCACTTAAATGATTAAGCTTCAGAAAATAGCCTCTGTGCCTTAACACTTCTTCCTCAAAGTGATTACTTAATTAATGAACATCATTCAAAATACAATTCCACTGCATTGTTCATGCTTAAACCAAAGCCTGCAAACATTAAAATCCAAATTGCATTTCATTATCACTAGGAAAATTAGAATTAACCACTATATCCTAACTAAAACAATTAGAAAATGCATAATTCTACAATTCAAAATTCACTACAATTAAAATTTTCTAACTAAATTTTTAACAAGAGTAAAAGGTTAGAAGTGTGAGTTGCCTCTCATAAGCGCTCTTTTATTGTCACTAGCTTGACGCCTCATGTTTCTCAATCAAGAGAAACCAACTTAACACAAGAAATGTTCTTTGTGAATGCCTTTACATGATAAATTTTCAGCCTTTGACCATTGACCTTGAACTCTCTCCTTGTCTTTTGATCCTCAATTAATATTGCGACCATAGGGAAATACTTCCTCTATCATAAAAGGTCCAGACCATCTTGATCTAAGCTTTCCTAGAAATAATTTCAGCCTTGAATTAAACAACAAAACTTGCTATCCAAGGTTAAGCTCTCTTTTTAAAATGAATCTATCATGAATCTTCTTGGTTCTCTCCTTGTATAGCTTAGCATTTTCATAGGCCTGCTGCCCAAATTCCTCCAACTCATATAGCTTTAATATCCTCTTCTCTCCAGCACTAGCCAAGTCAAAATTCAGCCAATTAGTGGCCCAACAAGCTTTATGTTCTAGCTCCAAAGGTAAATGACATGTCCTTCCAAAGACTAATTGGTAAGGTGACATACCAATTGGAGTCTTAAAGACAATTCTATATGCCCACAAAAAGTCATCTAACTTCTTTGACCAAACTTTCCTTGAATTATTCACCACTTTTTCCAAAATTTGTTTAATTTCTCCATTTGACACTTCAACTTGTCCACTTGTTTGTGGATGATAAGGAGTAACAACCTTGTGTTTTACACCATACTTTGCTAGAACTGATTCAAGATGTTTATTGTAGAAATGAGCACCTCTATCACTTATTAAAAATCTGGGTACTCCAAATCTAGCAAAGATGTTCCTTCTTATAAAAGAAATAACCACCTTGGCTTCATTTGTCCTTGTTGGAATGACTTCCACCCACTTAGTATGCATTCATGAGAGAAAGACATGGAAAAAGGTTCAATGAAGTTAATTCCCCACACATCAAATAATTCTACTTCCAATATATTTGTTAATGGTAGCTCATGTTTACTAGAGATGTTGCCTGTCCTTTGGCACTTATCACAACTCTCAACATAATTCTTGACATCTTTAAAAAGTGTAGGCCAAAAAAATCCTGCTTGCAAGACTTTTGCAGCAGTTTTTGAACTCATATGATGGCCTTCATAGTCTGAATTATGACGATGCCACAATATCTTAGCTTGTTCATTTTGTGGGATACACCTTCTAAGTAGACCATCCACCCCAATTTTGAACAAATAAGGGTCTTCCCACAAAAAAAATTTGCTGACATGTAGGAATTTCTGTTTTTGCTGCCATGTAAATCTATTTGGAATGAGTTGAGTGGCCTTAAAGTTTGCAATATCAGTAAACCAAGGCAGATTTTTCACAGCAAGTAGTCTTTCATCTGGAAATTCTTCATTAATGTCTAAGGAATTAGAGGTTAAATTGTCCAATGGAAGTCTGGACAGATGATCTGCTACCCCATTCTCCTTTCCCTTTTTATCTCCAATCTCCAATTCAAACTCGTGCAACAACAAAATCCATCTCAATAATCTTGGCTTGACATCCTATTTGGACAACAAATATTTGAGGGCAGAATGATCAATATATATTATAACTTTGGATCCCATCAAATATGATCTAAATTTATCGAAAGCAAACACAATGGTAAGGAATTCCTTCTCAGTAGTTGTGTAATTTACTTGTGTAGATTTTAAGACTTTGCTGGAATAATAAATAACATGCAATTTCCTATCCTTTTAATAACATCCTTATTTTTAATTAACATAATAATAGTAAAAAAAAATAAATCAAAATCATCAAAATCGGAGAGATCCTAAATAACAAAGGTTTAAAATCGGAAAACTTGAATAATAAAACATTAGTCTTTAAAACTGGTAAATAAACATAAAATATTGTAGTCATAATTTGCTTCATAATGTACAACATATATTTGTATTTCAAATAAACATAAAGTTATCAAAATATATTAGGACCATTCATTTACATTTTCAAGTACTCAAAATAATAATGGTTCTAATGAGCAGCCTAACCACCCTTTAACCAAGTGGCACTAGTCATCCCCGTGCCAATCTTCTATAATCGCTAGGTCTTTAGCAATTAACTCGTCATCCGAGCTAAGATACTGATCGCCCGGGTCTGTAGTGACCTGAACACCTGTAATATGCTCGATCGTCCATCGCGATGGTACTCTAGACTAATCGTGGTCATGGTACGTAACAAGATATGTTACTACTGCAGGGGTTCTCTCGACACCAGAAAAGATATAAATACAGAGAGTGTGATGGATTCTATATACAGACAAATCAAAAGGGATATTAAAGGCTAGCTCCAATTCCATCATC